CAAGTAAATTCCAAACACAGTTTATCAGTCAGTGAATGAATTTGTGCTGTTTCAAATGCATTACGTCCCCACACTGCCTAACTTTACCTCTTCCTCAGTTCTATCAGTTACTTACACGCTGAAGCCAAAGTGTGCTTCCCGTTTTGATCATTGTCCCCATGACAGAGAAGCGATCTGCAAAGGACCCTCTCCGAGCTGATATTTGTGTCACAGTAAAGCAGCTGAGTCACTCGATGAGGTTTACTGTCATGAGTCACTGCCACAAATTAGTGAAATCACCAAAGAGGGTCTACAGGGACGCATGTACTGTTAATATCAACTGAGTTTGGTTCAATTCATGCATGGTGAAATGATCATTAAAGCCATTAAAACTATATTAATTAATACACAATATGATGCCTCATCTTTATTAGTGTATGTATGAGTTAAACCAGGTGAAGTCAGATATTAAATGGTAAAGATACACCATTATTTAGAGTTTGGCAATATGACAATATATATCATGTGAGATTATATTAATTATTCAGCTGTCAGATTTTTTATATATTCTCCATTTATATATTGTAGTATCCAATAGTTAAATAAGAAGGAGCAGGACTGTTTTATGGTAATATTGAATTACTGTGCAATTTTTGCATCAATGTGAAGAAGTACTACTAATTAACTGGTATTTATTAGCTGCATTTGTCTGATACAGATTTAATTTCTTAATTGATATTCTAAAAATATAGTATATACATGAAATACATTGATATTGCAATATAAAATTACATACAGCAGGCTGTGATATTGGATTTTTCCCCCACATGCCCATACTCCAGTCAAGTGCTCATTTATTAATGAAATATAGTAAGCTTGCAAATAATGATTATTATCATTATTGATTAATCTGGCTATTATTTTCTGGATTTATTGTTGTGTCAATAAAAGGCCAGACAGTAGTGAAATGTGCCCTGTATAATTTCGCAGAGGTCAAAGTGGCGAGTTCAAATATTTGTTTGTTTTTTCTGTTTTTTTAATCCAACCAACAATCCAAAAGCATCCAAAAATCCAAAGCTAAATAGTTTAATATCATGTATGATAAAGAAAAGCGTCAAATTCTCACTTTCGAGAAGCAGGAAATCAGAAAATTTGCTTTAAAAATGACTAAAACAATCATTCAGTTATCAACATTGCCAATTAATTTTCTGTCAATAGATTAATTGTTGCAGCTCTAAAATATAGTCTACTTTGTCAGATAAATATAATGTTTAATTGATCCTTGAGGGGAAATTTAGTCCATCAACATTTGGAAATAATTTTTGTCTTAGTTCTCTTGATAGCGGCAATTACTTGTTGTAAGTCTTGTATAGTGACTTTGGTTTAACTGTAAAACAAAAAGTATTTCCAAAAGGACTTAAATAAAATGAAATAAAATCACTGCAAGGATAATTTGAGCTGTTGAATTTTTGCTTTTTATATATTTTTGCTGCACGTGTTACTCAACAGTGCATTTTCAGGAACAACACGTCATGAAGCTGATTGGCTTCTAAATGTAGATGCTGATTTATTTCCACTTCAGAGCAAACAGGCAATTTAAATGTAATAGCATCTCATAGATCCTTGTGAGATTAACTTTTTCTGTCTTGTGTGTGTTGCTACATATTCTTGTTTTATAGAGCAGCTCTGAATCACATTGATTTGAGCTGTATTGACTTGACAGTATATAAAAAAAACTTTGACTACTGTCCTTTCATCTCTCAGGTTTGGTGATGGCTACACCATCATCCTCCGTCTGGCGGACGCTAAATCTGACCCGGACTCATGCCCCATCAGCACCTACATGAAGAGCTCTTTCCCCAGCATTGAGCTGAAGGAGCGCCACCAGAGCGTGCTGCAGTACCAGCTGCCCTCACACGCCTGCTGCCTGGCTCGTGTCTTCGATGTGCTGGCCAACAACTACGAGGAGCTGGGCATCATCGACTTCTCTGTTTCACAAACCACCCTGGACCAGGTGAGGACAATTCAAATCTCCTGTGTTTCTGAAAAAGTGTTGTGTATTGGGCCTGATCTAAGTGCTTCTGTAAATAGAGCTTCACATCTCAAATGTCCTTTATTGAGGCAGTGTGTCAGCCACTAGAAGGATGCTGTTTCCCATCAGGCTTTGCTCTCTGGCTAGTTCATTGAGGAAAAAGCATGAATAATAAATAATGTTTAACAAGCATTTGTAAATTAACAACTAATAAAAAAGGGGCAGAAAAAGTCAGAAAATGGCAACAAAGAGTGTCAATAATCTTACCACATCACCTTTACTTGCCTAAATATATAGTATATCATTACTCTCTCACATGGTATCACATTTTCTATGATACCGTGAAACATAACAAATGTGTAAAATGTAGATTATTGCATTTAATTTCAAGTTACACGGTATTTAATGATGGGTTGCCAAATGTTATCAAATCGAAAAGGGATTTATTAATTTTCCAGACAGATTTTATCAATGGTTGGGGCAGCAAATTGTTCCAGTATGTGAGAAATTTTATTTATGTATTTATTCCTGAAGGAATAGGATCAAAAGGTACATCTTAACTATTGAACAACATTTGAGTTATAATATGGAGACTAGTCCACACTCAGTTAATATCTGAGTTGCCCTTAATACAAAATACATTAGATAATTAGTTAAGAGATGTTAGCCACATGAACATAATGAACAGCCGACTGTCATTAGCGTAATATCTGACCAGGATCATTCAAATGAATTAAAGAATGACACTAAAGCCAGTTAATTTTTGTAGGTGTTTGTCAACTTTGCCAAAGAGCAGACAGATGACGACCTCCTCACAGATGTGGTTGTCAGCAACACAACAGTACAGACCAACCTGACTGCACTGTCCACCAGGATTAACCCTCCCACTATCCAACCACAGCCACCAGTCACACCTCCTCGGACAAGCAAGACTCCACAGAAGCAGGGGAAACCATCTGACAGCAAACCCAAAGAGGGTAAATCAAAAAAGCCAAAGGCTGGCAAGGTCAAATCCAAAGAAGGCAAAGCTAATGGAGAGAAAAGCAGCGGTACGGCGATGACCAGAATACCTCAGAGAGAGGAGAAGGCTCAGAGGAAGAGCCAAAGGGGCAGCAGTGGATCGGACAGCAGTAATGGTGGAGTTCAGGGAGAATCCAGTAAACCCAGTGGGTCCAAACACAAAGCAGAGAGCTCCAGTAAAAGTCCCTCTGCACTCTTTATAGTCGACAGCAACACACAGGACAGGGCACTGTGAAGTGGACTGGTGCAACGCAAGCAAAGGTTCAAAGGACCAACTAAAGTCAAAAGCTTTTTATTACTCGCCCTTGTTCATTTAAATGTTTTTCAGTGACGGCAGCGACCTCAATATGCAACATGGAACGACACGGCTCATTGGAATAGGAAGCAGAAAAGATGGAATTTGAAACTTACTGTTAGAAGTAAATTTATCCCCTTGGCCTCTTCTGAAGAAAGACAGGTGAGTACCTCCTAATGTGGTTTGGTGCCTTGTTCCCCTTGTTAACATATCTGTAGCTTTATACCCTTTATTTGGGTCCATAAATCTTACACTGTGTCTTTACTTTCTGTATCAGTCTCATAAGTCTGAAGTTATTTATCCTTAAAAATATTATGCAAGGCTTCATGTAAAAACAAGGGGTGGCGTTCCTCAGGGCTCAATCATTGGACCTCTCACAATCTCATCTATTTTTTTTTTGCTGAAAGCACTTTAAAGAAGAAAATGCTGCAAAATCTCAAACTGTTACTGGAGTATGTGTTACATGTAATTATTAAGACATTTTTATGTGTCAGAAAGCATCTGAGAGGTTGTTTCAGAACATTATATAGTATCTCTCATGTGGAGAGAATTCTTACTGCAAGTTTATTGTGAAATAACTCTGAAATATTAAATTATGAACTTTCCATGTGTTACTGTTTTGTAAATCAAGAATTTATTTTGTCTTTTATCTGTCAAACTTTTATTTATTTTTTTTATTTTTATTTTGTGTGATTGGGTAACAGTGTCACTGTATGAACATGGGGTATTATATATGACAGGAGTGCGGGTGGTTCTTTACTTCTACCTGTTATTTACTGTCATTTTAGTTATTAAATAATTAGATCATGTTTTGTTTTTCAACTTTATACATGTTACATGTATGTGGCATACTTCCTGCTCACATGACATCTCATATAATTAACACAAGATATTAAAGCATTTTCAAACTATAAAACTATTGAAAAAGTCCAGCACGCAGGTATGACTACACTGTTTCAGCTGCAATGTTGTTACAAATTCTTCTACATAATGCCAAACTACAGCACTCCAAATCAAATCAAAGAAATTATGATAGCTCACAGAATTAAAAGTAGTATTCACCAGATGTAACAACATTGCCTTTGGTCAACATTTGTTTATTTTTTATTATTCTTTATTTAAGTTTATTTTAATAAACCGTTTGTTTATTTTTCTATAAAAAAAAAGTGACACAGCTGACTGAATGTCATTAGCAGGTTGTTACTGCACTGTAATGCACTGTTACGTATTCAAAAGATTGTTACAATGGTAACTATAGGCATGAGACAAAGAATCAGAAGGGTTTCATTCCAAAATGCAAACTGTTACAGTGTGAAATGTTTGTTTAATACAGTTAAATGTGTTAAAAGAAGGCTGAAATGATGCAGACCTTAAACATCTTAAACATTACGATGGATCAAAATGGTGAATGTGTCATTTTGGAATGAAAGTCTGTACTACTGAATGTACTTTTATGGTATTATGCTTGAAAAGTTGTACTTGAACATAAATTTATCTGTGCATCTACTATAAGATGTACATTATATACTGAAGATATGCTAGCATAGAGAAGAAAAACGGGTACATGTCTGTTGTGAATGTTTTGTCCCGAAGGAAAATAAAACTGTGGTTTCCTGTATAATTTTTTAAATACTGTTCTGTATCTTATGAGTCCAGTTTGTTGTTTTTGATGAATTACTGCAGCATGCTGGATGTCAGGAGGTTTTTCTTCGTCATAGTGTGGATGAGCGTTGGTTTTGGGGCAGATGAAAGTGGTGGGAGGCTCCGCTGTGAGTTTACACTGCATCCACCCACTGATGTCTCTGTCACTGCTTCACTGTTCAGAGAAAAAAGACAGAAACCAAATTGACGGAGTGGTTTTCTTCACACTGAAGTCACTTATCTAATGTTATTTAGATAAATAACATTTACACATGAATGCAAAAACTCTACATGTATCAGATTTTAGCATACAGTAAACATACTTAAACAACGTGTTTAAAGATGACATTGTTATCTACTGGTCTGCAATATTAAGGGTTCAGTAATGACCGATATTTTAAACATAAAATATTGTAGTGTTTAACCATTTTTATTGCCAAGATTTCAGTAGTTTCTTTGATTTGCCAGGGTAAAAACTGTATTTAGTCCATCATGGGACACGACAATTTGTGTCAGTTGCCTTTTAGCCAACTTTACTGTGATACATCAAGTCACTAAAAAATGATAATCTCAGATTTTTCCTCATATTAAATGCATTTTTTTACACCTTTTGTGGCTTCTGTTAAAGCCATCAAACGTGTTCACAGTCATTATTAGTTCTCTAATATTTATTTATTTTTTGTCAGTGGCAGAGTCTGCCATTCCCACACTGGATTTAAATGCCATGCACATGCACAAGAGACCTGTTTTCTTAGAAGATTTTGAAGGGGAAACATTTGTGTTAGTTCAAATAGAGCTACAGTGATTCATGAAGAAATTGAATTCATTTGAATTTCTGAATATTGAATAAAATGTGGAAATATATTCCTGTCAGATGTCCTTTTTCCTCAACAGCTGGAGGAACCTCCATTCTCTAGAGCGGATGAGGCTGTATTCATATATCATATTTAATTTAAAAACAGGTATAATAATCAGATATGAACAATGCTTTACCTTAATGAAACCGTGATTAATAGACTTCCTATATTCCCTTCAGTGCTTTAACTACCGTACAATGAACAATAACATTCTCCAAAACTGTACTCATAACTCCCAAACATACATGTTGGCCAGGTTTTTGTTCTCCGTGCCGCTCCTCTCCCTCAAGCGTCGCTCACTAACAGCTGCGAGGAGCTGATCAGAATGGACACGTGTCCACCGTCCTTCATCGTAACCTCTCCTCTTCCTCCCCAGTTTCTGTGTGACCGTCTGCAGCAGAGCATCCAGACTGGACAAGGAGATGTCAGGGAGACGAAACTCAGGAGATCTCTGCAGAGAGAACAAGAGAGGAGAGTCAGATGGGTGTGATGGCAGTTGTGTTCAGAAGAGGAAGACATTTTTCCTGTCATGTTTTAGTTTGTGTGTGTTCTTGTATCTGTCTGACAGTTGTGGAAGGAGTACTTAGCTCCATATAAGTAAAGGTACCTATACCACAGTGTAGAAATACACCATTACAACTCAAGTATTAACAGTAAAATGTCCTTACAAAACCAGAAGTACCAAAAGTAAAAGAACTCACTCCCCAGTGACTGATATTGTTATACGACATAAGAATGATAAGAGTGCATAAGCAGAATATTAGTTTTAGTCCAGTGGTTCATGGCCCTGTCCTCAGGGTCACAAGATAAATCTCAGGTTGTTGTTGTTTTTTTTTAAATTAGATCATTCTTCATCTTGTGGACCTCAGACAGTTGTTAAAATGAAACCATGTGAGAATTAAAGTGGAAATATCTTATGGAAATATATATGGGTTTTTTTCTGTAAGAGGTCACAATATTGGGAACTAATGGTTAATGTTTAACAGTATATTACATTTTATAATCCTGTTATAAGTATAAAGTTGTTACGAGAGTAATACTCAGAGTACAAGCACTAAGTAACTTTCCATCACTGGTGTATCTTGAATAACTAAATTAATTTTTGAACTGCTGTTTTGAAGTTATGCTTTCTTTTCTAAAAGCTTGTCAAATTATTTACCATTCAAACTTTTAATTTTAGACCTCATTCAAGCAATAATTTGAAAAATGAGCCATCAAAACATTTGCATCCTTTAATATTAGAAGAGTGAAAAATGTTTTTAATGTCTCTTAGCTTCTGTTTTAACACTCTACACTGTATCAAAGGGGCAATACAGAGTATTTGCCCTGTGTGTGTATATCAATGCCAGTGACTCAATCAGGAAGATGCTGCTGTTTCTGACTTTTAAAACTCTTTTTATTGCCCAAAGCCTTGTTGATTTCTACTCTACTTGGCTAATGTGTTCTTCCCCTTGTGTAAAATTGTGACTAAATAACTCCCTCTCAATCACAGCCCAAGTTGTGCCAGACCAGTTTACGATGATGCAAGTCCTCCTGGTTTCCAGTAAAGGTAGAGATTTAACTTCCTTAATGTCCTTTTTACTGAACTACCTTTACATGAGCTACTTCAAGCTTTCTCTCTTCATCTCAGGAATTTAAGGAGGAGATGTAATCAGTCTTTAATGATAAAGAAGAACGAACATTATTTGTCAGCTGGTTTTGTAGTTTACTCACACTTTTGGAGAACAGGGGATTGTCCATCCAGGGCCTGCTGTCTGCTACATGTCCTGTAACTAACCCGTCGCCTCTGCAGCCTCTAATAGTAACATTTGAAGAGATGGTCCTTGTTTGCTCAGTTGGACTGATGGGAGGTAGAGGAGTGTGGTGCCCCCTCTGACGGTCACAACACTCAGGAGCTGGTTTAGGTTGAGTTATAGGTGGTAGCACAAGCCAAGGACTTTGTGCTTGTTTGGTGTCAGTGTCCAGATTTAATCCTGTGAAAGAACTGAGTATTTGTTCCTCAGATTTAGTGACAGATGGATCATTTTTGCAGCTGGTTTCAGGTTTCTTTTTACTTGTGCATTCGTTGTCCTCCTTTCTCTCTTCCTCTTCCTCCACTGGCTCCTTGGCTGCAGCCAGAACAGGCATCAGATTGACACAAAGCTTCATTATATTCCCTGATGTTTCACATGTAGTAGCCTCCCTGGCTGAGGTGGATTTGCTCTTAGATGTGGCAGCTTTAATCCTCTCCTTTGACTTCACAGGTCTCATCTTGGGAATTGATTTCTCCACTTTACACACGATCATCGGACAAGTGTCTAGCTCATGTTTTTCCAGTTTTACTGAGCTTGCCTTCTTCTCTTTCTTCATTCCAAAATTTGTATAAAAACACCTTTAAAAATCTTCTCTGATATTGTCCAAACATCTCTAAAAAAAAAAGCGTATTGAGATTAAAAATTGTCCAAATTTTACTGACTTTTTTCTTTTGCCAGAAACAAACTGAACAGCTTCTCTTTCTCTCCAGCAGCAGAGAAAAGAAAAGCTCGGAACAATTAGATGACTCTGTGGCAGGCCTATTAAACTGGCTGTTATGGTAACATGCACACAAACTCCAGTCACTCTTTATGAGCCAGGAGGAAGTCATTGGTATTCACACTTATATCAAAGGATGGATTATGTTTGAACCCACTCAAAGATGCTGGATCAGAAATGATGGAGGCGGCAGAGGCTTTATTTTGCAAATTATGACAGGAATGTGTTTCATTAGGTGTGCCAAAGCTTGTCTATTGACAAGATGACTCACTCAGGACTTGAAAAAGGTTTTAACTACGTTAGGCTAGGCAGTAAATATACAAAAGGAAACCATATGTTGCCGTCTGAAATACTCAATTCGCAAATGAAATTTTGAAAATTTTCATTATTGTCACCACTGGTTCTTATACTACGGTGTACTTCAGTTCTGCATGTGGTTTGTCGAAGTGGTGTTTCTGTAGTCCTTGCTTGGATGCTGTGGGTAGGTATCAAGCACTGTACTGTCTCTACTTCATTACATTCAAATGAATTAAAAAGTGCTACACTATGAGTGTTATTTAGGCCAGTGCTTCTCAACTGGTTCAGTCACAGAGTCCAGATTTCTCCTAAGTCACTGGTTCAAGGTCCACACAGTTTAATCTGTTCAGCGTCATACTTGTGTTTGGCCATGTTGTTGAGCTAATTTGCTCTCTCTGTTAAGAAGCTGTCTGTTAGTCAGTCACTCTACAGCAGGACAAGGCATATCAAAATGAAAGTTCTGTGCCACAAATTCACTGTGCTCCAAAATAAAGTGTGTTTTTTACAAACTTCACACTACGTCACTTGGGGTCCATTCAAAATGGATCTGCGACCCACTTTTGGACCACGACCCACCCGTTAGGAACCACTGATTTAGGCTTTAGCACTTCTGATTGTTCTAATATTTGTAAAGTGTTAGTATATTAATTCGTATATATTAAAGTAAGTCTTTACAAAAAGTCATTAAACTTGTCACATTAGGTCATTATGTGTGCACTTTTCCTTTGCGGCCTTCATTTAGGCCTATGTGCTGTCTCGCTAAAATGGCTATTGGTCATTAAAACATTGGGAACCCCCGATCTAAGTTTTTTTTTGTTTTTTTTTTCCTAAATCTTAGATTAGATTAGCTGATAAATTTCTGATTTTCCCAAGCAAGTAAGAAAGCGATTGCCAGACATTGGCTTGATGTTAATGCCCCTAAACTGGCTGGAAATTGTCTAATAAATCTTAATTATAGAAAAGTTAACAATTGACATACATTCTGAGAGTTAGAGAGAATACATTTAAAAACAACTGGGGAAAAAATAACATTTGTATGAGACAGGACACCAACTAAAGAATGTCTAAAGATAAAATACTTGTATAAAGATTGAATATTAAAGTTCTAAACAACCTATTATTGTTACTTTAGATTTTGGTTGTTTTATGTATTTTGTTGTAGAATTTTTGTATCAGTGTGTTTATATATCTGTGAAAACTCAATAAAAACTTTAGTGAAAAAAAAACTAAACCCATGACTACAAATACAAAAAAAATTGCGTTTATAGTTACAATAACCTTAAATCCACCTATGATTAGATTCTAAGCTCTAAGGTAGAAAACTTCAATTCATGTAAATAAAAATGTATATAAAATGAAATAAGAAATAAATGTAGATAAATATAAATAAAAAATACAAATGCTCTTAAATGGAAGTAGAAGTGACATGTTGTAGTGATTACATCATGTTTAACAGCCTTACAACATGTAGCAGCATACAGTAGAGACAGAGTGAGACCTCTCACTGTTTCTCCTCTCTTTGTTTGTAGTAGGAGGACAAACAGCTATAACTGTTCACTGTCCGGCTAGCAGCCGTTGAGCTAGCTGCTCTCAAACTGCCGAGCAAACACCTCCGTTTAACTTCACTTTTTCGTCCCGACTGTATTTATTTTTTCCCTGTACCGTAAGGATACAGAGCGTGGCTTCTTTCCGCTTGTTTTGCTTCAATAAAATGGTCGTTTTGACAAATAACAATGAAGAACAGGATTATATGTGAGTGAAAATTACGATCCGTTGGTTAGCTAGTTAGCGTTAGCCCGAATCACAACTTCAGTTAAATGGAGATTTAAACGGTTTTAGCTCAGCTGTAATCGTGTCAGCTCTCTTGCTAATCATGCTTATTTGGTTGACATTAATAATAAGGTTTAAACAGGCTTTTAACATGTTTTAATTATCTATCTTAGTTAGCCTTTTAACAGCTGGCAGCTAACTAGCTAACTGACCTGGATACGTTGGGTTGCGCTGGGGTGTTTAAAGTCCTAGTTAAATCACGTCTGGGTGTTTCTGTCAACACATGAGCTAATAAGCCTTTCACTTATCACCTCTTACAGCACATCTATATCAGATTATGTTAAGGCTTCCTTGTTAATAGCATGCAAAGATTAACATACAGGATTGAGGAACATACTGCTTATATTTATAAATGTTTTATAAATCATATCAGTGCCACTGTATGGCCAAAGTTTGCAAAGGGTTACATGTCAAATGTAAATCATATGATATCATGTTGAAGGCAAACCATATGTTATCTTATCCAGGCAGAGGTTACATTATATTATGTTGGTGTGGTGTTGCTTACAACCTGCAGGGCTCAGGCTAAAAATGGCAACTCACAGGCAGAAAGCCCACTCACTCACCACCCACTGACCTACATCTGCAGCTACTGCAGGAGGCTCTTCCCTCTGTGAGCAATTTAAAAACACTGCAGAGACAAAACAGAGGCAGCACAGCACAGTGAAGGTGAACTGTTAACTCTAAGGCTTTTAATAATGATTGTTTTAAGGTGTTAAAGCAGCCTGGTGGCCATCTTCACATTCCTCAGCCACTTAGCTGTTTGGTGTTTTTGTCTTTTCTTGGATAAAGTAAGATGATGTTGTTATGATATTCATGCATGACATTCAGCAATTACAGAGGGACCACTTCATAGCTGAAACCCTGCACCTAAAAGACTTTAAATGCTGCAAGTTTATGATAATGTCAAGTTCAAAGAGCATTTTCAGACCACAAATCAAGAGCAGTGAAAGTCCATTGAAGTGGGTCAAAATTAGGCCACACCAAACCTTTTCTCATACCTTATGTACTCAAAAAAGCGTGCACTCTGCATGTCACTATCACTCTGTCTACATGTAACCTACAGCTGAATGATTAGACTTTCAGTGTATATTCGCACTTGATATTGTTAAGGACACTGAAGAACGTGTTAAATAATCATGGGCTGAAGTAACATGTAGTTAACTACATCACTTGAACATGAAATAAATTAAGGAGCTTCAGGATTTTTGTGACTAAACTGGCTAAACTGACATCTTGTTCTCTGTTTTCCCAGCCTGATAGAGGAGCGTAAATGCACCTCCCTGCCCAACTCTCCAGCCAAGCGAGTGTCTCCCACCAAAAAGAAGCAGTTCTTCATCAACCAAGCTATCCGCAACTCTGACCTCACTCCTCGAGCCAAAGGCAAGAAGAGCCTCCGCCGGCAGGAGAACTGTAAGATCTTATTTCACATGATCAGATTATAAGATGTGGTCATCCACTGCAGGCTGAGCATTGCCTATCAATCCTCAAAGTCTGTGAGCTAATTTTACAACAGAATTAGTTTTTTAATCTCAAGAATTAACATTTGAAAATCATAAATCATTGGATACTTTGGTAATCACACCACTCTCCACTGTCAGCACGCTTTCTCGCCAATCTTCTTGAGAGGGATGAGTGCTCCAAAGATGATCTGGAAGTTTGCAGTAACCCGGCGATCCCATCGATCTTCACCGAAGCCTGTACCAACGGAAACTACGTAGAGGTAAAACTATGTAATAAACCTTGCTGCTCTTTAATGCTACAAGAGTGCCATTACGTCTGACTTGGTTTTAGCTTTACTGTTTTTCTTACGCGTTTTGGAGAAAGTTTTACCTTTTCAACTCTTACAAAAGCCAGAGCTTGTCTTGCATCGCTGATCACAGTGTAATCAAATCTAAAAGCACTGAATAAAACAGGAATTGATTGCAAAATGGACACCTCATTCTCTTGTTCTTTTAGCCATGGAATGATTTCATGAATTGCTCCGGTGAGGAGCAGGAGAGGCTGCTGTCTCTGCTGGAGCAGGAGGAGGCCAAGAAGAAAAACACCAATCGGCCCCTCAAAGACGAGAGGAATGGTGGGCGTCTTAGTGTCTGCTTGTTTGTCGGCTGGTTGTTGAAACGTGGCTGTTTGGCTGACCATTGCTCATCTCTTTGCAGTAAACCCTGCCTTCACTCCTCAGGACTGCTTCCAGAGAATCGATCGCAGGCTTCGAGCGACTCTCAAACGGAAACAAATCCCCATGGTGAGTGTCATCTCTTCTACGTACATGGAAGGAGTCCATATATGCACAGTAGCTACGAGCTTAAAGTCAAAGTTTCATCATGAAGCCTCAGCTTCTCATCATTTCTCTGTCATCATCATGATCCGATAATTGGTGGAAGACATGTTAACCTCAGTGGATTTTGCCACTTGGACTTGTCTTTTCCTGCATGTCTGCTATGCAGCAAACTCTGAGGCTTCACCAGCTTGTTGTGTCGTAGTCATTGACGCAAAAGTCAGTTTATCCCTCTCCTTTACGTCATTAGTTATTTTTGGCTGCTTACAAGACAATGACATGCCATTCCAGATGTTTGCAAATGACAAACAGGTTTGACCAAACCATGACTCAGCGGGGAATCCCACATAAGTTCAGCATTTGACTCAAGCACAAATCATGCTTCAGGACACATGATTGTTGTGGGGATCAAACCTTGTGGCTGCCGCCCACAATTTTTTCTTCTCCTCACAGGGAACTCTGGAAGTACTTGAGGAAAACCTTCTGAGCTTCTTCATGGCTCAACCTCGCTCAGTTTACACAACCAACCTCGCCAGCAGGTAGACACCATTTTTGTATATTCAGTG